CTTTGACTCCTAACAAACCACATTTTATAAACACTTATTAGGCAGAGGACATCATTAATATATAACTGTACCTTATGTAAAATCCACACATATGGAGAGTTAAATTTATTCATTGAGCTTTTGAATCTCAAATCTTCCAAGGACTTTCACGAATCTTCATGATGCCTCTGAAAATTGCATTTTGCATCCGATTCTCTTATTTCTGTTAAAAAAGTTTCAGAAATTCATGTTGCTGGTCCTCAGTCCACAAAGTAGAGCTTCTTCTTTTGGACAAATTGGTGTTGGACAGAGTACAACACAGAAATTGGTGCCAGATCATCTTATACCTGTAGGAGGATTGAGGGCTTAAGACAGCATGCATTTCACAGTGTCATATTTGGCCCCTTTTCCTAGTAAACATGGAGGAAGGCAACCAAGAGACCCCAATCCAGGTTTCCCTGGATGCAAGGAAATTCAGTATCTAAATGCCACATTTTCTGGTCCTGCCTATCAATGTTATAATGGTGGAGTCCCATAATAAATAATAGTGTAATCATGTCATGATGATAACCTATAATTTAAATAAATCCATGAAAATGAAGAATGGAGAGATCTCCAGTACCAGCTTCTGAGAATGAGTCACAGACTCAATTCTCAATTCAAAGCAATTGGCACTTCTGATGTATATACACAAATAGATCTCCACCAATCTCATTAAATATTCAATCCATATTCAAAGTTATTAAATATTGAACATGATTTAATAAATACAAGCAAGTTAATCAAGACTTCGATTGGTGGTTGTGGGTTCATAAAAAAGCTTGTGAAAACAGTCGTGCCACTTGGGTCTTATTTTCATCCTCTGCCTCCCAGCCCTGTTTTTAAAAGAGTGCAGGAATTGTGTTCTATTTGTGTGTGCAGGGGGACGTTTGGGTTGCATTGGTGTGTGCGTAGGTGTGTTGGCTTGTCTTCTCCCACTAATTTGTGTACTGGGCAGGATTGTCGTGTGTGGTTACATTTGCAGATGTGTTTGGCGTAGATTATATCAGTGTATGTTCTATCAGCAGATGTAATGCTGGTGAATTACCTTAGATACTGGTTGTGCAATAGTTTCTTCTCTGTACCTCATTGATGGCTAGGACCATGGGGTCCCACAGTTCTCTGAAATTCTTCAGGGGCATTTTCTGAAGGTTACTTTCAGGGTTGTGTACGTGCACTTGGTCCCTGAGAGTGAATGTCTCCCTAGGTTGCCTTAGTCTCAGTCCCATAGCACAAGACACTACAGCATTGAGAAAAGAGCTTTGAACGAGCTTGAGTCCAAATTCACGTTCTGTCATTTCCTGGCTCTGTGGCCCAGGGTACCTTCTTTGGCCCTCAGTCTTTCCTCTGTAAAAGGGAAATAAGAATGCCCACTATACAGAATTGTCATCAAGTTTAAATAATTTCATGTATCATATTAATAAATTATAGATATTTTACTTACTCTTGTAACAAGGCAAGGCCCTATGCTAGGCTTTGTATCAGATATGAAGGTAAATAAGACCTGGTATTGACCCCAAATACTTAGTGTGGTGGGGAGGGAGACATTCCCCCTTCAAGCACTCTGACATGGTATGTTCCACTTAAAGGTTTAAAAGATCCCACAAGTTCTGAAATCGTTCAGTCATTCAACAAATTCCAGTCATCCCTGGGTCTGCTTTGTGGATATTCCTGCTTGGGGCTTTGAGTCAGAGTTCTGCAGGAAGTAGAGAGGGAAAGGTGATCTCTCATCAAGGAAAGGAGGGAGACAGAAGGAAAACAAAGAGAATTCCCTGCCTGCACACATAATTGAAGGGAAGGCCACTGTGGCCTGAGCCTTGGACACTCCGTCCAGTGTCCTAGCCTTTGGATAATTTCTTTTTTTATTTTTATTTTATGTTTTTGGAGACTGAGTCTCACTCTGTTGCTCAGGCTGGAGTGTAGTGGTGTGATCTCGGGTCACTGAAATCTCTACCTCCCTGGTTCAAGCAATTCCCCCACCTCAGCCTCCTGAGTAGCTGGGATTACAGGCCTGCACCACCACGTACAGCTAATTTTTTCGTATTTTTGGTAGAGACAGGGTTCCACCGTGTTGGCCAGACTTGTCTTGAACTCCTGACTTCAGGCGATCTGCCTGCCTTGGCTTCCCAAAGTGCTTGGATTACAGGCATGAGCCACTGCGCCAGGCTGGGATAATTTATTTCTAAGAGAAGGAGGTCCTCTCCCTTATTCACAGGAGATTTGGCCTCCTCACTCCTCACCCCTGTCCAGGCTGAAGTGTGCAGAGGGTGCAATTGCACTGGCTTGTGGTCACATATGAACTCAGGCTTCAAATCCTTGGTTCTTCCAGGCCCCCACTCTTTTTTTTTTTTTCTTTCCTGTCTTCTGACCTTTGTGTGTAAGCTTTTTTTTTTTTTTCCTGGCAGGATCAACCAGGTATGTAAACTTTTTGATAGCAGGACTTATAGCATAGAATAGTGGATTTTTATCTCAAATATGCCCTTCAATAAGTAGCATGGTCTTAGATGGCATAGCTTCCAAAATGAACTTGTTGCAGCTGAGTTGAAGGTGGACATGGCAGTGGGCTGCTCGGAGTGGTGCCTCCTGTAAGTAGGCACTCAGAGACTGACAAATGAATGATGTATCATGGGCTCCATGTGACCCCGAGCCAACCTCAGAGATGTTTGCTAAAAGTGTTTCTGGCTCTGTTGGGACATGTGTCCTTGGAGCCCTGCCATCTGGGTAGGGAAGGTGCAGCTTTATAGATCGGTGTGGCTTTTTAGAGTGTGGCAGAAAACAAGCCAATCCCCAGCCCAGCGTGGAGGGAGCCAGCAATCCTCAGACACACAGTTCAAGCCTGGCAGGTGTGAGTGTGTAAGAGAAGGGGGAGGGAGTTGCTTCCTCTTTATTGGTCATTGAGATGGGATGAAATTGTTATTCAGGAAGTCCTGTCTACCTTCCTAAGCCTATCAGAATTGAAGTCCAAGACTTATAAGTGGATGGCTACCACAGAGCGGGAGAGTGGTGGGGCGTGGGGGTAATTGCAACTCATAATGAAAATGGAAATGTGAAGATGAAGGAAAGATATGCGAAATCCTACCTTGTACAGTATTCATTGCTCATGGTAGTCAAGTGCTACTCTGCGCCAGGACCTGTGCTTCGGTGCATTATGTGGTTTCATCTTCACACAGCTCACAGTACGGTCATCATTCCCATTTTACTGATAGGGAAACAGGTTAGTGACTGCCCGGTGTCACAGTAAGTGGTGGAGCAGGCATACACATTTGGCGTCTATGATATCTACAAACTGTAGCACCTCAGAGCTAGAGAAAATCTTAGAGAACATCTAATTCAGCCTCTTCATAGTCAGGTGGGGAAATGATGCCAGCCCTAAGATTTGCCTGCAGTCGGGACTCGGGTGAGGCAGGGAGGCTCTGAAGGTGGCACTCACCCTCAGTTGCGGACTCTGTGAGCACTCCACGTGCCTCACCGAGTCCCAGCCTTGAGCAGATGTTTCTTCTGGTTTTGTGGTGTGAACCACAGAGGCCCAGGCCGGGCTTTATGGACTTGATTTGATATCCCTAAGTGAGGAATGAATAGAATATTGTGCGGAGTTTTGCCAGCACCCCAAAGTAGATTTTTACCCAGGGGCTGGCTGAGTGGAGGTTCTGCTTCTGGTTGGTAGCACAGAAGGAGAGCAAACTCTGGCCCCGGAAATGAGGGGTGAAACTAGGAGAATCCTGGTCTTGTGGGGCCACAGGGTGGACTCCATGGGAACAGAGACTCCACGTCTCTCCACCAGTCTCCACGGGGCTGAAATGAGGAAGTGCCAGGAATAGCTTCTAGGGGAGGGACTAGCCCCATCAGACCCAGAAAGGCCCGGGAGGGTTAGGTGCGCAGACGCACGGGCAGACACACAGCTCCCAGTCTCAGGCATTAGGCCTGCTTTATTTGTAAGTATTCCTCTCTCCACCTGTGTATGGCCACTTTCCAAGCCTGGGCCCTCCCGCTCCGGTTTTAGTTCAAGGACAAAAGAAGGCAAACCCCACGAGCAAAGTACCCTGCTATCATTCCCACCCCCTGTAAGCGGGAGTCTGCTTCTCCTGGAGAGGGGTGGGAGGTAAGAGCCTGGTCTTTACCCCCGTCCGGCTCAGCCACACTAGGAGTGTCCAGGGGCAGCCAGGTGGCCCCAGGCGCTGCCGCAGGGGGCGGGGGAAGGCTTCCTCCCAGTGGCCCCGGGGACTTGAGCGCAGGGCAGGCAAAGGGACGGGAACCAGCTGATCGGACTCTGGTGCCCTCGCACTCCCCGCATCAGCGCAGGAGCCCAGTCCCAGGCTGCAAGGAGCAGTGGGGGTCTCGACCTTGCCTGGAGTAGACCTTGGCAAGGCAAGTCCCTTGTCCTCTTCTCCTTGGGTCTCAGTTTACTCATCTCACCAGGCACGGCTCAGCCCGACTTGGGTCTTAACATTTTGAGGTCTTTGCTTGCCATTTCCCCGGCCCAGACATTTCTCGAGCTCCTGTGTCTTGAGTCCCTATCTCCGGCCCTGCCCATCCCTCTCGGTCCTCGGCCTGTTAGGAGCACGGCCTGGGGGGGGGGTGCCCCTGGCTCCCTTTAACCCCCCCGAACCCCTACTCCCACGCCCGGGATCTCCCAACCATAGCACGAAGGAAAGGCAGAGTAGGGAAGAGAAGGGGGAGTAGACCCGCGAGAAGGTTAGAAGGAAATAGTAAGAAAATAGAGAAACGAGCAAAAGAAAGTGGGGAGGAATGAGGTGAGATGCTGGAAAGGGCTGAATCGGAGGAAAAGGGGGATCCAAAGGCATGCTGAAGAGAGAGACTGAAGACAGGAAAAAGAACGGACGAGCGCGCGCGAAGCAGCAGGGGCTGAAAGGACCAAAGAGAGAAAGAGGAGAAAAAGGAGGGGGGGGGTGTGCGAGAGAGCGGAGGGAGGGAGCAGCGAGCCGGGAGGAGGGAGGCTGGGCGAGAAGGAGAGGGAGGGGCCGAGGGACGAAGCGGGTGGGGGCTGGCTCAGCAACAGCCGCCGCGGCTCCAGCCGCCCGCCCGCTCCCTAGCTTGCTCAGTCGCTCAGTAGCTCCCGGTGCTGGCCGCCCGCCGCCCGGCTGCTCGCAGCTCCGGCTCCTGCCCGGCGCTCTGGCCCGGCTCGGGCTCCGGAGGACAGGACCGCGCGACTGGCCGGCCGAGCCCGTGGCCGGCCGCCGGAGCAGGTAGGTGGCTGGGTGGGGACGGTGGGGACCGCGAGGACGCGGAGCCTCGGACGCCAGGGGCACCAGGGGACACGGGAGTGGGGGTTCCGGCCCCGGGGAGGGGACTTTGCAGCCCCGCGACTAACTTTCCACCAGCTCCGTGGATCCCCGGCCGCCTAGTTTGGGTCCCGGCTGCCGAAGCCAAATTTGGCGCGGGAAGTGGATGCCGGGGCTTGCGGGAGCGCCAGGGGTTTCGGGCTGGACGTGGGGGCGCCTCGGTGTAGGCAGGCACAGCCCTCCCGCCGCAGTCGGTATGCAGCGTCCGCGGCGTCTCCACGTGCGGGGGAAGACCCGAGAGCAGCGTTGCGGCGCGGGTGTCCCGGGGATGGCGCCCGCCCGCCCTCTTGAGTCTGGGGACTCCGCTTTCAAGCCGCCCCGGGTGCGTGGGCTGCGTGTACTGCACCGGCGCTTTCCTCGCGGCAGATTGCCCTCAGTGGCCGGCAGTGCTCCTCATGGTCGCCAAGCCCGAGCAGGTGCCACGCACGCTTTTGCTTTGGGGAGAAGTGAAACAGAATGTGTACCCCCCTATTTATTTTTCATCCCGTCGCCCTTACTATTCCGGGAAGTCCAAGACCCGGACGGCCGTGTGGGTTGGCTCTCTGGATGGCCTTCCAGCCCTCGGCGGCGACCCTGGCTCCCAAAGTTAAAGGAGAAGCGAGTCACTCTCCGCGCGCGCCTGGAGCGTGGTCCCGAAGTTCCCAACTTCTCGCCCAGCTGTGGGCGGTAGTGCTGGAGGTGGGGAAATGGGTAGTGGTTGTGGCTCCTTGGAGCTGCCAAGCGCAGCCGCCTTCCTCCTGGACTTGGTTTATTTTCCTAATTTGTTAGAAAAAAATACGACTTAAAAATAGAATCGTTCCTCGCGGGCGTCAAGGCTGGTGAGTGGGACGCAGCCATCTCCTGTCCTGAGCCCGGGAGCGCCGAGCCTCCGCATGGCACTCCCCGGAGCCCCCGAGCCCGGGCGGCTTCTCCTGGACCTGGACTCGCTGGCTCCATCCCGCGGCAGCCGCATCTCCGGATCCGTGCACCGCAGCCGGCGCTGCGAGGCCAGTGTGACTGTCTCCCGGGTGGTGATGCTCTCGGGAAAAATTTCAAAGTGGGTCCTCTTCAGGATCGCCCACCCTCCATCCCTCCAAGAGCCGAGAGAACAGGGTCTTCGGCGGGTTGAAGGAGGCTTTTGGGATGGTTTGGGCTCCCGGCCATCTGGGCTCGCTCGGGCAGGGGTCCTCGTGCCCGGCGCCCCTCCTGCGCTCTGCCGAGGAAACAGGGGTTAAAGCCCAGGCTTGGGGGGCGGCACGCGGCGGCAGGCCGGGGCAATTGGAGCCCTTCCGGGGGCTCTGTCTCACGCGCTCCCGGAGTCGGAGGTGCAGGATTCGCCGACCTCTGCGGCTTCTCGGAGCCAGCGGAGCCCCGGTCCAGTAGCTCTCTTTGTTGGGATGCTGTCGGGAAATTCTCTTCAGAGGTTTAGGGGGTTTCGTGGGATCAAACTCGGGGCTTTGCGGAGAGGGTCCCTTTCCGCAGATTGGGCGGGGTGCCCCGAGGGCGTTGAACAGGCGGTGAGCATCCTCTGCTCCTCTGGCGGATTTTCCTGGTACACGCCATGCACCACCTCTCTCCGTTGCTCACATTTTGTGTAAGCCGTTAGAAATTCCAGGTCTAGGACTGCAATCTGGCCACTTCCTCCCACTCACAGATCAGCAAACTAAGGTCCTGAGAAGTGAAAAGCCTTGCGTAGAGCTGCTTTGCGGAGGAAGAGGAGGTACCGTCTCCTGACTTTCCAGTCAGGGCCTTTTCTAGTACTCCACACGAACTTTACAGCTTTCTTCGCACAGGGCAGGTGTTCCCAGTCAGGCCACTGCACGTCTTTGACAGGCTCCGGGCCTGGGTGTGTATGAGGTTAGAGGCAAAGGATCTGTCTCTGGATTTTCAGGTTAGATGCTGTGCTGAGAGCATCTCCCAGGATAAATCACTCCTGTGACAGTCTGTTGCATACCTGTTCTGTCCCTGCACCGGGCCCTGGGGGTAAATGGAGGCCACACAGAGGGCTCAGCCCCATCAGGTGTTACTCATAGGGAAAGAGGAGCCATTGATTTGTAGTCAAGGAAGCGAGTGCAAGTCGGCATTCTCAGGTGAAATCACTTCGGGAGGGGCTGGATTAGGGATAGTCCCTGGAGAACGCAAGGTTAGGAGCTGATTCTCAGTAGGTTTCCAGGTGGGGAAAGACGGTTGTCAGAACACTGGGCATGCGTCCTAAGAAGGAGGCAGGAAAGCTGGTTAAGTGGCTGGTCAAAGCACAGCACTGTCGGGCCAATGAGCACTGGGCCTGAGTGAGAATCATTACGGAAGCTAGAAGAGCCAGTTGCTCAAAGAGTGCAAGCTTAGAACGCCGCCCCAGAAGTCTTCTAGGCCTAGACTTAGGGTGAGCAAGTGGCTGACAAGTCAGTGCCCCAAGTCAGAGCCAAGGGTGGTGGAGTCAGATGGGCAGTATTCTGGCTTTTGCTTCTTTTTTTCTTTCTCATGATTCCCAGGGGTTTCAATCATTCTCATTCTTTTGCTCCTTCCCTTTTTTTCCATTCTTTTTTGTTGTTTGTTTGAGACAGAGTCTCACTTTCTCACACAGGCTAGAGTGCAGTGGCACGATCTTGGCTCACTGTAACCTCTGACTTCTGGGTTCAAGTGATTTTTCCAGGCTCAGCCTCAAGTATCTGGGACTACAGGTGTGTGCCATCACACCCGGCTAATTTTTGTATTTTTAATAGAAACGGGGTTTTGCCATGTTGGGCAGGGTGGTCTCGAACTCCTGACCTCAAGCAATCTTCCTGCCTCAGCCTCCCAAAGTGCTGGGATGACAGGCATGAGCCACCTTGCCCAGCCCTTTTGCCTCTTCCCAACCATAACTTTTAGCTACTTCAGTGTTCCGGGCTTGAAGTAGCTAAAATGAAATGAAAAGCAGGAACATGTAGTCAGCAAATAGTTCTTGTCCTTCTTTGTGCTAGGTGCTGGTCTAGGCCCTTGGGATACAGCGATGAATCAGACAGGAAGTGTCCCATCCCTTGTGATGCTGACGTTCTAAGCTCTGTCCTCCATAGGCTTCAAGTCTAGTTATAGAACAGAGGCAAATACAGAAATGATGTCTGAAGAAGTCCTAAAATGGGACAATATAACAGAATTCTGAACCTCCCCTCTAGTGGTTCAAGGCTCCAAGGTGAAAGGTTTGAAGCTGTTGGCTGTGCAATTTGCCCATGACCCTAGCTCCTGGTTGCCGGGGGTAACCCAGAGGCAGCCGCAGTGTGACCTTAGACGCAGCATCCAAGAACTGCTGCCAAGCAGGGTACAGCGGCAGGGAGCTGGTGAGTGTTGGCAACTATGATCTTGCTAGGTATCCATAGAGACTGGTGCCAGGTAACCATGTCCCTCTTAAATTTCAGCATCCACAGCTGTGCTCTGGAGCTCCGTTATACAGATGGGTAAATGGAGGCCTGAATCTGCAGATTGGGAAGGCTGTGCAGTAAGAGGGGCCCAACCCGCATAGAATCCAGGTGTCCCTGATACCCGATTCAATTTAAAATGCTGATCTTTTCTTCCTAGAAAAGCATTTCTTCCTGGCACACTAGCGATGCTTAGATTTCAGTGTGGAAGGCTTGTGAGAACGCATGTTACTAGGCCATGCACCCAACGTTCTGATTCAATGGGTGTGGAGTAAGCCCAGTAATTTGCATTTCTAAACAAGTTCCTAGGTGATGCTGATGCTCTAGTTCTGGAGACCACACTTTGGAAACCAATGTGGTAGAACAAGGGAAAGTGAATTTTTTTTTTTTTTTTTTTAGATCTTAAAATTGGGGAGCCTGGAATGAAGGCTGTGATTTAGTTCTAGGAACTCATAGGACTTGCTTGCTATGTGCATCCCCTCCCCCTCACCCCCCAGGAGGCCATAGAATTAAAAGAATATTTTATCTTCATCAGCACACACACAGAGAGAATATATTGCAATATAATTAGGGAATAAATAGGTGTCATGTATTGGATGTAAACTCCATCCCTGGTGGCTCTGTGGGGGTTTATTATAGCACTGTTATAATTGAAAAGGTGTCATCCACTCTGAGAGCCCCTCATGAAACTTTCATGGTCTGGGTGGTCACTGTCCAAAAAAAACATGTCTTCTTCATTTAAAAGACTGAAAGTCAGAGTGATTGCTTCTCCTGCTAATGGGACTATCTATTTCATTTGACAGTAACTATGCAATGTATTCTTAAGGAAGCGGCAGGGGTTGGTGGGGAGGGAACAACTGAACAGCCAGTGTGAACGGAGAGGGGCTGAAGGAAGTCCACATCACAGGTTCACAGGTCTGTTTGTTGAGCATTTCAAAACGTTTTGAAACTCTGTCTGTCTGTCTTCCTGTATTTCTGATATGAAGCTGTATCTCAGCAGGAAGAGGAGAGTTTGCGTTTCAACATAGCTGGTTGGGTAAATGTAACAGCACACTTCATCCCCGATGTGTTAATTAGACCCGAAAGAAAAGAACCATAAAAGAGTTGTTCTCCTAAACGCTAGCATTTTTCATCTGGATTCTGTTTATCGATTATTTTACAGTTGAGAAGGAGCAAAAATCCATGTTTTTATAGCAAATAAAGCTGGCTGCAGTAATTATGCAGGCTCAACATGTCTGTTCTGGAGCACGAAGTTGGAATTCAGCCTGACTCTCAAACATTTGGGTGAGATCTAATTGAAAGACATTTCAAAGAACAAATATTTAGGAATGCGGAGTTTCGCCAATGGTCTCTCTGGGCCAAGTGTGAGTACCTTGCTTTAGTTTGATCCTCAAAGGTGGGAGGAGACCATGGAGAAGGACCTGGTCAGTAACGTTGAGACCACAGTCAAAATGTGAGGCTGAAACCTTAGAAACAGTGAGGCTTAGTAAAGGGAAGAAAGATGCCTTCAGGGAATATATCCCCTATACCTGGTGA